TGTAGAACAGTTCATTTGTTTCAAGAAAAACATGCAGTGTCATGACTGTGTGAGCTATTTATTTGTGGACACAATGTCAGAACACACAAAACGGCAGGAGTAAACTCAAAATGAGCATTTAATTGTCATAGTCTAAAAATACACAGGAACAAACAGATAAGACAGCGAATGAACAACTCTAAGGATTGCTAGGAGATACAGCGTCACTGTCAAACTCAGAGTACTACTCTGAGGTACTGCGGAGAGCTACACACAGCTATGAGGGATAATGAATAAACAGAGACAGAGACAATATATATAGACACAGCAGATAACGAGGGGAGCGGTAACAGGTGAGTATACAGCTGAAACCAACTCAAACATGGGTCATCCAGAAGAAACTTTAACTCAAAACGCAGAGAACATGACATGTAGAAATCTCACTACTGTGACATTTGTGTTGATTCTGCCCCACATAAAACACAACAAGAAAACTGCATCAATGAGAGACGGTTACATTTAATGACATGTAGTGTATCCAATTATTCCTCGTTGTTGTTACAGTAGATTAACAGTTTGCCTCTCTTATCGTCTCCCAGCCGTTTTCAAGGAGGACCTTTTACCCCAGACGTGTCATTCGGCCAGAGTTCTGGATGGAAGTCTCCAATCTTTAGACCACCGTCCTCCTCCAGGCACTCCATGTCCTCACTGGTCTACCCACCTCCTTAAAAAAACACACACACGAAAACTGTCATGAGGTCTCTAGATGAAGTACGCCTAGCTAAAATGAGTCACCACCCGGTTTATATGTTGGTTTCACTCACACACCTGTGAATTCACAGACACGATTAAATGTATTTAGCTTAAAACCAAGATTTGTTCTTATGTACATTGATTACAAACCTAAAATTTAAGTTTGGTAAATTGTGTTCAATCTACAAATTCAATAAACAGATGATAAGATAACACTGCGGCTTGTTGCTGATTGAAATGGTTTCAATGTTTTCTATTTTTGACAGAGTTTTAGCTCACACCAAACTTTGGCATTCTGGTGAAATCTGGTACACTTTTATATTAATGACTGGTTTGCAGTCAAAGGTCAGAATATTCATGACAATTACTTTGAGTAATCCAGTGGAGAAAGGCCTCAATTCAATTCAATTCAATTCAATTTTATTTATATAGCGCCAAATCACAACAAAAGTCGCCTCAAGGCGCTTCATAGATACAGAGAAAAACCCAA